CTTCTTCGCTGGAGGTTGGGTGGCATCTCCTTCGTTAATTATTAACTGGCGAGACGTGCGGGACGCCGAGAGGAGCGGCCCGAGAGCAAGTCGTTCCGCACGCTGTGCCCCCAGCACGGGTTCCGTCTCGACCCCTGTGGCTCGCGGGATGGGATTTAATCATCTTCAGGATTTGCAGCTGATAGGGTAGAAAAGCGAGGAAACCTCGCCGTGACCTACGCCCCACCACGCTTGAAATCATTTGCGATGGAAAAAAAAAAGTTAGGGTTTTGAACCGACTTCTTGTGTGAAAGAAGCATTCTTTGCCCCTCCCTCCAAAAAGTACTTTTATGCCCTTCCTGCGTTTCATTATCCCTGTATGCGTAAGCCTCCTCAAACGCCCTTTGCAGTGAAGACATTTTCTTCTATTTAAATGAGAAAATAGATGTTGCTGTGTGAGAGGTACCCCTGTCCACCCTTGTCCAGTTTGTTTGGTATGATTTGCGTGGACTGGGGGAAAGGCGCGACACGGAGGTGTTTTTAACTGCTTTCCCCCCGATGAACAGTAGCCGCCGAACAAGAAGGAAAGTACGTTTTAATGTTTGAATTGAACCCCGATGCTTCCTAGGACATAGACTTTTGCTTCCGTCGTTCTGCATCAGTGTTCCACACCCTCCCTTACTAATGGAATAATGAGCAGTTCACACGCTGCCCCCTCCCAAATCTCTAGCCCACACGTTTGTCTTGGAGTGACCTCTGGCTGCCATAAAATAATAGATGCATAGTATTGTGCTTTGAGAAAAGTCGCTCAGAAGTACTGGCAATGCCATTTTCCTATCAGCTCGGCTGCCTGAGAGAGGCTTGGAGAGAGAAAAAGGGGGTGGGGGTGGGACAGGCTGCATCTGCATAATTAGAATATTTCTTTCGCGATATCGTAACATCCTGTGCTTTAATAGGATTATCTCGCTTTGGTGCAAATTTAAACGGAAGAAAAATAGTTTGTGGGAAAATGAGGAATGCTGTAAATATTTCCATATCAGATTTAAGGGGGAAAAAACTGACCCAGAATCATATTAAATATTCCCCCATTGCCTCTCCGTTTTAATAGTTAAATCGGTTCCATATGCAAGAGAGTTTGTATAATTAGATTTTTCATGCAAAACAGAAACACTCTTTACAATATAGCTTGTTGGTATGTGGTTACATGTGGACAAGGAAGGAGCGCGAACAAGCAACCATGAAAGAGAAACACTCCCTTTGTTGGCTGATTTACTTATGTTTTTTAAACATCATTAAATCAGGCCCTTTGAACTCACCAAAGAAGAAAATCCTTCCTCTGCGTTAGCTGTCAGATAAGTTTAGGTTTAAAGTAGTCTTGTGCTTCGATGTAAGAAATCTTCATTTGAGCAACTCTAGTCTCATCCTTCAGTCTTGCTTTTGTTTAATTAGCAACAAAATTCCAATACTATTTGGATTGCTTCTTGGACAAACAGGGAGTGCCCGGCGACAGCTCTTGGAATCAGGGGAGCGCTTGTTTTGCTCCTCATAAAAGTGCATTGGCCACATGTCACAGAGCAGTCGAGCACTGAAAGGGGAGGCGAGAGCTTCCTCAGCTTCAGTCGATTAAACCCCCTTTGCTTCTGTTAGTGCTCAGCCTGTGTTCATGTAAATGGAGTCATAAGAGCACAGGCTTAGAGGGAATTTCTAGCCCATAATAAATTCTTCCTCCAGCCCAATTCACGTGCACATGCAGGACTTCTTGCCACTTTGAAAATACCGTGTATGTCGGTGATTACTCTAACATCACCAACATAATGGATGACTAGTCTATTAGTGTCCAACTCTAATAAACATGATTTGTGTAGGTTTGAAGCATTGGGCCTTTATTTTTGCCAAACGGAATTTGAAATCTATCCCTGGTTTCATTTTAAGCATCATTCCCCGATATCCGCTTGCTGGGATTTTTGTCCCATTTTTGTGGCCTGTGATGGGCAGGATTGGGAGAAGGCGATGGCTAGATCTAGAAAAGAGTAAGTCCAAGTGGTCCACTACTGAGCAAAGGGCTTCCTGGCAAAAAGGGGTCAGTTCCTTTACAGACAGAGAGGATTTCTGAATCCACTTACGCATGGGAGGGAGGGGGACCAAGACCCTCCATGAAGTAGAGAATATTTTAAAACCACCATTTTTCATGGGCAGCCTCTTGATTTTTATATGTTTTAATCACGTCACTTGCAATACCATGCTCAAGTCATCCACTTAGTTCTCGATTTCAGTTGAGAACTATATAATTTATTTAATGTTGCCCAGTTATGAAATAACATAATCCCTAAACAGACATAGTCATTAAATATATATATAGTATGTGGCTGAAATCTTAGTTCTTTAATGCTTACTAGATATACTTGTAAAGATAGTCATAGTTCTCATTAGAGTTCTTTTCCTCCCATCTTTCCCTCCCAGCCAAGTGATTCACAATGAAAATGGTTGAGATCAGCAGGTAGATAATTGCAAAGCACATGCACTAGCACCCAGCCACTTGGTAATTTGCTTTGGGGCTCCTAAGAAAATAATATTTACAAATGATCATCTACTAGAAGCAAAAGTTACTGGATGGGCGGATGAATGGATGGATTTACAGAGGTACATGTGGAGTTCAGTTTTCTTAGAATTCTCTTAAACTATTTTAAGAATCATTAAAACCCTTGTATGAATACATTTTAAATATTTACAATGCTTATTAGAAATGAAGCCTGCCTAAATCTATATATTTCATCTTTAGTAATATTAAAAACATAATTAGACACTCAGAGTCAGCAGCTATACTATTTTTATGTTTCTTTATTTCAAAAAATACATTTTTTGGTGCGATCCACCAGTGACAAGTCAGGTGTGAACTGACATTTGGCAGCACCACAGGGACCACACACTGACCCTCTGAGGAATCACTTCTAAGTTCTCTCTCCCCCATCTCACTACTCCACTCAGGATGCCTTTCTTCCACCCTAGCATGGTGACTCAGGGACTGAGAAACTTGTGGTCAGAGCTTTTTGTTTCTGTCTATCTTGCGTGGGACATGATATAACATGGTTTTTCTATAAATTGTCAGAGGGTGATGTCCAGAGAGAAGAGGTCTGAATAGACAGATAATAGCATACATTAGCCATTGGGCAAAAGGCAAAACAGCAGCTGAAATCCTTTGTTTCTTGATTTTCTTTCTTGAACTGCATTTGTTAGCCCTCATATTTTAAGGAAATAATATGATAACTTTAAAATCTTTGCTCCCGTGGGTATAAAAGTACTGTCAAGTGGATTCCTTCGGTTTGCCAGTGATATCATTTTTTGCTTTTGATTGTATTGCTTCTGAAGTTTATGAGGCATTTCATAAACAGGGAGCTGATGTAAATCTGTATTTATTTTGTGCTTTATGGTTTGCAAACACTCTTATCTCATGCAATCATCCCAGGAAAGTCACCAGTGCTCTCATACTTTTTAGTTGAAGAAACTGAGGTTCACAGTGGTTATACGTCGTAGCCAAGCTTTTCCCACTGATACGTGGTGAAGCAAGGACTGCAACCCTCATTTCTGTCTTCATGCCTCCCCTGGAGGAAGCTGTGAACATGTCCTGGATATAACTTTGTCTCTAGTTAGTGGAAATTATAACTCTGGCATTTCTAAGACAAAAAATAGATCCAATTATGTAATGCTTTGCTGAGCCTAATATCTTTAAATTACTATTTAATAAAATCAATTTGGTACAAATGGGGTTATTCTTATTTGCTTATCATTAGCTGTCTTCAGCCATGATTTTCATTAAGTCCGCTTGTTGTAAGAGGATCTGGGTAAAATGTAAACTTTACTTTCTTAAAAAATACAAAGTACCATGACATGCAGCTAACCTGTATAACCCATCGCAACTATGGTAGAATTGAAAGGTTTTCTGTATGTTCCATTTGTCCTCTGGCAAAGAGAATATTCACACATGCATCTTCTAATTTTAATATGCCTTTATGTATATAAAGTTTATGAACACTTGTGCTTGTGAGTGCTGTCCTGTCTGTTTCCATGACAGCTGGGGGACATAACTGTAGACATATTCTTGAGAAATCTGTTGTCTTTTAGAAAAGCATTCAAAGTCTAGGCGTGTCCACATAGATCTCTAAAAGCTCATTTCCCACTTGGTGGGGACTTCCCTTTCTGACTGCTGAACTGAGGTGTGTTTGAAAGCAAATAAGCACCGGGCTTGGTGGCTCAGCCTGTAATCCCACGCTTTGGGAGGCTGAGGTGAGTGGATTGCCTGAACCCGCGGGTTCGAGACCCGTCTGGGCAACTTGGCGAGACCTCATCTCCACAATAAATCAAAAATTAGCCAGGCGTGGTAGCGCATGCCTGTAGTTCCAGCTACTTGGAAGGCTGAGGCAGAAAGATCGCCGGAGCCCAGCAGGTTGAGGCTGCAGTGGCCGGGAGCGTGCCACTGCACTCCAGTCTGGGCGACAGCATGAGACTCCAACTCAAAAAAAAAAAAAAGAAAGAAAGCAAATAAGCATTATTTCATAGAGTCTCAGGGACAGAAGAAAGTTTGAAAATCACTCAGATGAACGTCTCATTGGCATTTGGGTCCTCCCCACAGTATTCCTGCCAAGTGGTTACCTGGTT